TAGCGAGAAGTGTGTATAGCATAATCGAGTCGGTATATTTGAAATATGACTTAAAAATTCTTAATTGAAAATTTCATGTGCTTGAAACGAAAAGATACGAAATTTTAGTATTCGATATTTATATGAAATGATAATGCAGATTCTAAGTTAGATAAAATGTAAGTTTACTAAAATTTATCAATTACGGAACGAAATATTAAATAAGTGTTGCGTAAAGGTACAGAAGAATTTAGATTATTTTGTAGAACAGTGTAGATAAGTTAATATTACATGCGTATGTACAGTATAAAGGAAAAACTTAGAAAGAAAACGGCAACATTATTGTGCGATAAGTACAATTCGCCTTGATTATACAAGTACAAATTAAGAATTGCTCCTTAGTCAGTTCGTAATATAAACAACAATGCATCTAACACGTTATAATGTACCACCAATATTGCTTCCTATGGCTGTGATTACTGGGTCATTTGATGTTGACTTTAAGAGGGAGTAATATCATATGAAAACTCATACTTCACGCCATATTTATTTATTATTATTCATCGTTATCTATATATCATTATTTGACGTCACAAAATATCATTAATTACTATGTGCGCAAAAATATATACTCTTTATATAAATATTTTTTGTAGTAGAATCTTTTTTTGAAACGAAAACAAAAATATTTAAATTATTTTTATGGTGCGGAAATGTGATTTTGACGAGAAAAATTTTTTAACAAAATTTGGCAGGTACATTAATTTATCCATCTAAATACATATACATATACATATACATGTTATATGTATAAAGTGTTAATGTACCAAATAAATAGTATGTGTTCATATGATGTCCGGTGTTTAATGAGTATGTACATCTTGTGTTTATAGTACACTTTTAATCTTAATTATCGCGCAAAATTAAATTGTATATTCTTTTTAATTATTTAAATAAATACTCACTTTGTATAGAGCAAAAAAGTAATACCAGCCGCCCAATTTTTATTATCTCCAAAATTAAGTTTTACATATATTTGCGGAGATCGTAATAATCAATTGATTTTCATGAACTATTTATCTGAAAAATTAATGGACAAATTATTATTGATATATTTTCTTCAAATCAATGTTCATAATACATAATGCATACATCATTTATCTGTTAAATTTACTAATTTTTTTCTATCAGTTTATGTGTAAAATAATGCTCCCACTGATATTATGTAAATTAATGTTAGCGCACTAAAAGATAATTGAATTGCAGTAAAAAACGTATTACATGTAATAATAATGTAAATAAAATAATTCTATACAATATAAGAAAAACTCATGAAAATATTTTTTTTCTTTTCTATTGCATTAATGGGAGAAACATTAGAATATCGAGCAATATGTAATCTTATTTCAGACTTATGCTATGTTGAAAATTCTTTATAAATGTAACTTTTTTTTAAATCAATGGGCGTACATTCAAATTTTAGTCACTCTTTTATATAAACTACTAAGCACATAGCAAAGTTAAATCATGTCAATTAGAGGAGGAATCTGTGATGCTCGTTGTCAAGCATTTCACACTGCAATGATACAAAAAGAAGAAAATACACGTATCAGATGGTTTCTGAAGAACCAACAGAAATTATTAAATCATTTGGAGAAAACGAAAAAGATTAAATTGGCGCCGAAACATGTACCAAAGAAACAACCAATCGTGGACATCGTATATAATTTTATTATATTTAATAATAATTATTCGTATTATCGTTATATAATGAGTTATATAATTATGTAATATTTTCTGTTTCATAGATACATTTAAAACCCTTACCAAATTGGAGACCTCTCGAATGTGATGGTTCTATTAATATGAACATAATGAAACCCATTGATCCGCAAGTAAGAGCCATTTTGTACGAAGATGCCCCAAGTTTTATCAATGCTGAAAATTATATTTATGAAAGGTTTTAAATACGATACTAATAAAAAAGAAAAAAAAAGATTAATACTACTTCTTTCTTTCAGTATTTTTTCCGATATTCTTCTTAATTTCAATTTTCTATATTGAAAAGATATATCAATAAAATTGATATTTTATGCTAATATCGTCGTTGCTTATTTTAGAGTAAAAGATATTCCAGAAAATCGCTATTACTATCCGGATTGCGCGAATTGGATATACGGATGGCATCTAACAGATTATCCATCTATTTCACGAAATAAAGTTGGAAAAACAAATGTTATGATTCGTGAATTTTATCGTCCAAGAATATCAAGTCTACAGACAGATCCAGAATGGTATCGCCTTTCGAGAAGAATAACATTTATATGCGATGATGAAATGAATTAGTACTCTATTAGACGGAAATTAAATCAGGTACATTTTTGCTTCCGAGTGTTTTTATAAAACCTTTTTATCAATTGTATTTTTATAAAATAGTGAAGTTTTTGTGAGTGAATGTTTTTCTTTGTGATCTATTGTAAGATTTATTAATTCTGATCTTTTTTATCTACTTTTTAGTTTCTAGTTTTTACAGATAATAGACAATTTTCTTGCATTGATATGTAAATCACATTATTTTACATTTCTTCTATATTTAATATTTCGTTTTAGCATTTCTTTTTCTTTACACATCAATTTATATTTATTTACAATATATCCTTTAAGTTTGCATTTTTTTTTTTTTTTACTTTTAAAAGAGATACATATTCAATTAACGACATATTGCACTTGACGATACTTCAATGACAGTGCATGTCAATAAGTGTTATTCCACTATTTTCTTCATTTCTCCATTCGTTTCTTTATCTTTGTCTGGTCTGATCAACCGCTGTAATTCCAACGGTAACAAATAATCTGCTTGCCTCGGCATAGCACGAAATACAAAATCGATAAACTTCTGAAACTGTTTAACAACTTCGCAGAATTCTTCATTTAATAATTTCTTCTCTATATGACAATCGGTAATTTCTTTTCTCATGGCAATAATCACATCTTTCAAGCGGATCATTAATTCATAAAATTCGTTGATTTGTTGCTATATATATGAGAGCAGAATTTCCTATGAAATATTTGTTTTCGTGTAATATTAACGAAATTCGAGTAACTTCATTACCTGAAAGTATTTATGCATGATATGCTTTTCTCTATTATTTCGTAATCGTTCAAGACAAAGGGCATAGATCAAATCTGCGGCATTTTGCATTTCAAATTGACGCCTCTGAATATACAAATCTCTGTTCACTTTCTCTTTAAATTCCTGCATTTCTTCCTTTAATTTCACATGCTTCCCCCTACGTGAGTTTTAAATTTAAATTAATCGCGCAAATGCAATGGCCACACGTGCGAAAATGTGAACCTCATTATCTGATTAAAGTCGGCGATTATGTTGTCCCTTTTGGCGCAAAACAATTCTTCAAGGTCTTTATATAACGATTGTACAACATGAGTCATCTCCGCACGCATCTTGCGCATCATTTCGTTGGTCACATTTATTCGTTCTTGCACAACTGCTTTCTGAGTGTTTTTGGCACATTCTGCTGCTGCTTTAGACCATTCTGCCTAAGAATTAAAATCATTTTTTTTCTTTTTTCGTTTGTTTGTTTGTTTGTTGTATACAGCTTTCAATAATTATATAACTGAAGCTTATATAATTGTATGCTCGTTTAACGTTTCTAGAATAGGATCAATTCAGTGAAGTTACTTGCATGTACAAGCTACTCCAATGACAAATATAAAAGTAATCTAATAGCATTGAATTCTATCAATATATACATATATTATACATTATGCAATCTTACATTTCTTCAGTCAACTTAATACATCATCATTAATAGATCATTATTTTTGCGACGTATTACGATAAAAGGATTGTCAACTTCTCAAATTCTTTCAATACTACCTTCAAAAGAATAAATAAAAGAAATTTTTTTTGTTGTCTTAAATTCAAACAAGATATACTCTGTATTTCGCAATGCTATTATTCTTCTCTGTTCGACAATTAATTGCATGTTACAAGGTGGAAATAATAGAGAAAGTAATGCACGTCATTACTTCAAACTGTTTCTGTAACTCGTGCTGGACAGTTTCAATATAATCTCCGTATTTTTCGTGCAACTGTTGCACGTGCAACTCAGCTTCTCGCCTCTTTTTCGCTTGATACAGATGAAACTTCTCTCGTGATTGCCTCTCTATTTTGTCCCTTAGACTCTCCTCGATATCCTTTCTCACACGTTCTAAGGAAGCTTCGCCTATTTCTAGTAATTTCGTTTAAAGATTACAATCGTGTATACAATGTTCTCAATATTTTCATATTATCATACGTACGTATATGTTATTTCACACATATTCATTTACGTTTATATACTACGTTTATATTTTACCTAATATATTCTGATGCACAAATGCCTTTACGATTTGATGATCTGTCGGCGGTGTGAATTTCCTTTCGAGTAATCGATGGTCAGATGGAATTGAGAAACATGCTTTTGATGTTTTTAATGGTGTTAGTACATCCAACAGCTTTATCGTATCATGATGAGTATAATCAAAAAATACCTGTGCCAAGGATGGACCAAGGCAAGCGCGAATTACCGACGATGGTGGAACATCGTTATTCGAACATAGTTTTACATTACATTTTGGACTTGTTTGATCTACAACAATTTCATTCTCTTCCAGCTATTTAATGATATAACAAAGACGTAACGTTAATGTATTTTAATGTTCGCAACTTACGCATATTCTCTTGTGTTTTGGAATATGTTATTACAATACACGAGAAATTTGTAATGAGAAGATTAATTTTGTACAGGGATATTAACCTCTGGAAACTGATACTTTTGACTGAATAACAAATGATTAATGAAATAAAGAAACGAGAAAAACAGTCGTCTAAAATGGAAATATTATGAAATGATTAACTAATACATGTATATTGTTTATAACAATAAAATTGTTAAAAAATACAATTTATGCCATAATATCGTATCTAATTTAAGATAAAAATATAATGTTAAAGACTGGAAAGGGTAATGTAATTAAGATAAAAAATTATAATGTAATGTTTTTAATTAATAAAAAGCTTTATCTTAAATTTCGTATCCTAAATTTGTCTAATAAAATTATGTTGTACGTTTTAAGACATGAATTTTGAATAAGTTAAAATTAACAAATTAATTTTATTTAATTTAAATTTATTTTAAATTAAGAAATTATAGTTGTTTAAAATCCCCGTATCTGTCCCCAAATATGATGCAAAAATGGAACAATTTTACTTCAAAAAAATTAAAGTGCAACAATTATTATAAATTAAATTGTAGTTTTATAGTTTTTGTAATTACAAGAGAAAAATAAAATTTTTCAATCAGAAATTGTTACAAAATAGTAGTACAAGTAAAAATTCTATATTAATGGGAATATATTCAGATTATTAATATTTAAGCTAAGTTTATAACTATTGACAAACATAACAAATTAATTTCAACATTTACAGTACTAGGAGCCATTGATAATAAAAAAAAAAAGAAAAATACGATTTAATTGAATTAAGTAAAAATGAAATTAAATCTAAAAATATTTATACATTTCAACTACATTCATGTACTTTAACTACGTGAAAATAGATTTTATTCAATTAAATTTATAGTTCAAAATGGAAAAATTACCTGATATTTCAAATCATGTTAAGTTTGTACTCTCATGACCATCGTTACGTAAAAAGTAGACAATGTATAGCTTTTGAATATAGAAAATACAAATTAACACTATTAATAAACCAAAATGAAAATTATATTGGCGACTTATCCTCTATATAGTATGTACTTACATTTCCCTATCTACTTCGTTAACAAAGATGTCGCCACTTGTTTTAACCTTTCACTCTACATGATATATGATACACGAGGGTTATAGTTTTTACACGATAAATGGTAGAATATGAAAGTAAATAGAATTAGTTATAAAAATGATACCAGTTATTCACCTTGTAACAGAACAATTAAAACGACGAAATAATTTTATAGTGCCGTTATTTCTAAGGTACCTTATTCTGTTGTGTTTAAAATTCTCTGAACTGTATTGAGTATCTTAATGATAACGTTGATTTATTTTATAAATGTAATCCTTAGGCAATTAGATTCTGGAGTTAAGTTTACCCAGAGTGTAAGAAAAAAACAAAACAAGCATGATGCACAGAATCTAAATAATTTATTTCAACCAGTTCCGGTAAAGAAAAATGTGGATGATGCAAACGTTGGTGTGGAATTAACTGGTTCTATAAGTAAATACAAAGTGATACAAATCTTATGTGACTTTGCAAAACATTCAATAGTTAAAGAATTAAGTACGAAATATGGATTAAATGGTAATTCTTTTAGTCTTGTATTTTATATAATTAAAAGTGTTAATTTTGTAATTGTTTTGTAATTGTTTCAATTGCCTAATTATTTATAGATGTAATCTTCACCTCAGCAATGTCAAATTTTCGAAGTCATTGTATAGAATCTGAACAGTTACCTACAGATCTTCATATTATTATAAGTGATATTATAAATGGGGGTGGAAATATTACAGATATATTTCCATACTTTTTAAGACATGCCAAACAAATGTATCCGCATATTGACTGCTTAGACGAGCTGAAGAAAATCAGTGACTTAAGAAATCCACCTTATTGGTAGTAGTTAATATAAGCTGTTGTAACTTAAACAACTTTGTACATAGAGAAAAAATTATTTGCTTCGATTTTTGTTGTTTATAGGTATCCTATAGCGAGAACCAAGAAAAGAAAAATTATATTTCATGCTGGACCTACAAATAGTGGCAAAACGTATCATGCGTTAAAAAGATTTATGACAGCAAAAAGTGGTGTTTACTGTGGACCTTTGAAGTTATTAGCTAGTGAAGTTTTTAGCAAGTGTAATTCTATGGTTAGTGCCAAATATGATATTTATTATTTTTATTCTATTAAACATAAATAAATTTAGGGTACTCCGTGTGATCTAATAACAGGAGAAGAACACAGATATGCAAATAACGAAGCATCCCCTGCAAATCATACATCATGTTCTATAGAAATGGCAAACATACAAAATGTTTGTAAGTAAATTTAATTTATGATCTACAATTTGAAGGAATATTACTATTCTTTATATTTATTTATTTATATAATTTTATTAAAAATAATTTGACTATATTTTAATAATCATTACAGATGAAGTAGGAGTAATCGATGAAATTCAATTAATACGTGATCCAAGTAGGGGATGGGCATGGACAAGGGCTCTTCTTGGGCTAGCAGCAGATGAAATACATTTATGTGGTGAATTTGCTGCTGTTCCTATGGTATGTCCTATAACTGTATAATATTAGAAATATTAGAAATTTTCAAAATTATTATGTCTTTATGGTAATATAGGTACAGTCCATTTGTTTAACAACAGGAGAATCGGTAGAAATAAAAGAATACAAACGATTGACCTCGCTTGAAATAGAGGAGTCGGCACTCGGTTCCCTAAAAAATATTCAACCAGGAGATTGTATAGTTTGTTTTAGTAGAAATGATATATTTGTAGTATCAAATGTTATTGAAAAAATGGGACATAAAGTAGCTGTAATATATGGTAGTTTACCACCAGGTACAAAATTAGCACAAGCTGCAAGATTTAATGATCCTAATGATCCGTGCAAAATATTAGTGGCTACTAATGCAATAGGAATGGGTCTTAATTTGTAAGATTATAATTACAAATTTCAATTTTTTTAAACTGTGTAATAAAAATAGATCGTAGACGGTTAATATTTTTTCAGGCATATTCGAAGAATTATATTTTATTCAATTACTCAACCAACTGTCAATGAGAAAGGAGAAGTGGAGATCGACACAATTTCTGTATCATCTGCATTACAAATAGCAGGTCGTGCTGGTCGTTATGGAACACAGTGGTCGAAAGTAATCTAAAAAAGAAACCTCATAATGAGGTTTAAAATTATTGACATTTGAAGTTTAATATTACTGATCTTTCATATTTTAGGGATTTGTAACAACTTTTAAACCTGAAGATCTTCCTTTATTAAAAAATTTAATGCAGCAAACCCCAGAAGAAATTCACCGAGCTGGACTTCATCCAACGGCAGACCAAATAGAATTATACGCCTATTATTTACCAAATGCACCGTTATCAAATCTCATTGTAATGTTTAAATATGATTAATTTATGATTTATTGTGATCTTAATATATTCCTTTTTTTTCAGAATATTTTTATTACGTTGTGCGAACTTGATCATACTTTGTACTTTATTTGCAATTTGGATGATTTTAAATTTCTTGCTGATACAATACAACATATACCTTTATCTCTTCGTACACGATATGTGTTTTGTTGTGCACCAATCAATAGAAAAATACCTTTGTCATGCAGTATGCTTTTAAGGGTAAATTAAGATATCAATAATATTTTAAAACTTTGTTAAAATATTTTTATTTATTTTTTCACATTTTTATTTAATTTTTGTGCAGTATGCTCGACAATGTAGTAAAAATGAGCCAGCAACTATTTTATGGTTGCGCGAACAAATTAATTGGCCTCCTAAAACGCCATTGAATATTACTCAGCTCTTACATTTAGAAAGCTTATTTGATGTATTAGACGTCTATCTATGGTTAAGGTAAATAATTATACAACAATTTTAATCAATATATCAACATATTTAATTAATGTACAGTAATTATAATATAATCAGCAAAGAGATAATTCTCCATGAAAAAATAAGTCGAAAATATAAGATAAAATTTTTTTTATACATGTACAATGTAATAAATTGTATTATTTGTAGTTATCGAATGCCAGATTTATTCCTTGATGCAGATGCAGTTAGAAAATTACAAAAGGAATTAGATAAAATTATTGAAGAAGGAATTGAAAAAATTACACAATTATTTAAGAAACCGAAAGCAGGTATGCAAGTATACCATTTATTGTTCATAAAATTAAAAATGAAGTAAATAATATTTTATTTTATTACATAGATTTTGAGACATATAACGAAACACAATGTGAAGATAAGTTCGATGAAGGTACCAAAATAAATGATAGTTTATTTGATATTAAAAATTTTGCTTATTTTTTTATAATTTTATATAATCACATTACATACATACTACAGGTATAAAAAATGATAAATATCAAAAAGATAAATTAAGCCAATCGTTGGTATCTAGAGGTCTTCTAACGCCAAAAATGTTAAAACAACTAAAAATAGAATGGTCCACGGTAAAAAGAATTGACACTATTTTTAATATTAATTAATTAAATAAATATAGTAACTTATGTAAATTGTTTCAGGAACACAAATCGAGAGACAAAGGACGTAAACATAAATTTCGTAGATAAAAGAAGTCGTCTAATGTTAATTAATAAATGATAAAGTTTATAAAATGATGTTCATATTGAGAGATAAAGCAAAAATATGCAAATTATACAAATTAAAGAACATCTTTTTTTCAAAATAATTTTGTTTTTTCTAAAATAATTAATATATCCTTTACAAGTAATTAAGATTTAAAAAAGAAAACAAAATTAGAAATTGTACTTTTTAAAAAATTTTATTTCAAGTTGTTATTTGAATATATTTATAGATTCATGTCCAGTATCTTGTTTGTTTGTATTTATTGTTTGTTTATATTTTTGGCGCACTGAGTACATTTGCTGCTGTTTTGTAAATATTGAAGGATTGCGAAGAAATATAAGTTTTTTCGATTTATGCTGCAATGTATAAGATAGGGAAATACATTTTGTACATCTTAGTGAATCAGTATTCACTATTAATGGGCATAAAATGTGTCTCCATTTTATACCATCTTTATAAGCAACTATGATACGATTAATGTTTTGGAACTTTTCAGTATTGTATATACCTAATTGGGAAAACAAAAAACATTTGTTTCTTAGTAACATGAACCAAAGAAAAAAAGATATATATATATATATATATGTATAAATACCTTGACAAATAGTCCTTCGATCAAATTCATCAATAAGTTCTTCTATATCTAATAAATTTTGTACTTGTAAATGTTTTCCTGCTCTTATAAGATTGTAAATAAGTGGATTAATTTCTTTATTTACAACAGCACAGTGCAACATCATATCACTTTTTATAAACACTTGTTTTTCTGTGAAAGGCATTCCACTTTTTGTCATTCCCATAAATAAATATACTATTGTTGTTGTGTGGCCTTTTGACGTTACTAAACAAGACCAACCACGTGGTAATAATACTTCTGTACATACTTCGAGCAAATCTTCAAACAACATTTCATTTTCATCATTTTCGTCATTTTCATTATACATAGGATAATATTCATCCAATTGATCATAGTTTAAATTGTATATTATTTGATTCTCAATATATACATTCTTTGTTGCTTCAAAATTATCATCTGTTAGTTTTCTTTTCTTCATTGCTTTCCATATCATTGTTTCATGTTCTTCGGAAATATAATCTTTAAAGGATGACTGAAAACTTGAGAGCGAAACTTTCTTGGATATATTGGGACAAGAATCCTCTTTGGATATTTGACTTTGTTTTTCTCTTTTGTCTTCAGAGTTTATATTTTCTGTTAGTTCTTCCTTTATGTTAATACTACCTTGTATATTAATACTATTTTCCATAAAAATCATTGATTTATTCTGTTTTACTTGGTTTAAATTTTGCTTTGGAGATTCTTTAAATGTAGATCCATTTACATTTGAAACATTTTCTGATAATTCCATTTTATTTGGAAAGTTTTGCTTCGAATTATGTACATAATCATTAACATTACGATAAGACTGATAATTCAAATATGTAGCTTTATGATTCTCATCATTATTTACTTGTAACTTCTCTTCAGTTCTAGGTATAAGGAAATTTGTTTCTTTTTTTATTACTGTACTTATTTTATCAAATTTACTTATATTATTATCAAAATCACTGGAATTTTCTTGAATTTGTGCATTTTCTTGAAGGTGATAACTCCTTCCAGGTACAGCTCCTGGTCTCAATCTGCATTTCTTATATTTTATCTATAATACGTTAAAATTACGTGATATGATGAAAAAAAGATTATGATGGTATTTATGTAATGTAACAATTACAAAACTATTGTAACTTACAGTTATCACATGTGGTGGTACTCCACTAACCCAATGTGTAATGATATCATCTTTGTGGAAATGTTTACTACAAACATATGTGTCATCAGTAACAACATAATTCTCAATAGCTATGGCATTTTGCCACTTTTTACGCGTTTCTGGATCTTTTGGTGCTGAGAAAAAGCTGTAAGTGTTTCTGTAATTGGTTTCCTTGCACAACACACACTTACGCGTCATAGTAACACTGTAAAAATATTTTAAAAGTATTTTAATTTATAATATAGGTATAAAATTTTTATCGCATTTTGTATTGCTTTTTACAATATGTATTATGCGTTATTATCTTAAAATAATGTTGCATAAAGCAATGAAGGTTAGGTTATAATATTTTTATATTAAGATATCAAAAACTAATATATATTTACTTTAAAATTTCAGCTATTTTCCTTCAGTTAACTTCATGGAATTTCATACTTAAGTACATACATTTAACATGTTTGTTCAGCAGTCTTCAATTATTTTGAAACAACTGTCTTATTTTCGTTCAACACTATCGTTCGATGAATGATATTAATAGCGACTGTTAATTTTGCAGTTCATCTTGTGCAAATTTTGTGATTTTAAATGAGATATTTTGAATAAGAAATGAGAAACACTCCACATTTTTAATGCACTTTCTTAACAACTTATTTATTTTGATCTTAAATTTTTACGACTTTTATTCCGCCCCCTATTGGATCATTATCATATGAATTTCAAATTCAAAATCTTAAAAGCACCCGTTTTACTTTATAAGATAAAATTTTAATGATTAATTAATTAATTTTATAATTTTAATTTTTAAAATCTAGTGATTAAACAGAATGTATATAAGTATATAAATCGTTACATTAAAATCAAACATAAAATATAGAAAGTAAAGAACACGAAAAGAGATATCCTCATACATTGTAACTACACATATGACGTTACGTATGTATAAGAATCCTTCAATAAATTAATCTTACAATAAATTAAAAATCGTTTAAAGTGAATTGTTTGTGCTGAAGTGCTGAATGAATTATTTAATTTTCTGTAGGTAGTGTTTTTTTGCTACTTCCTTTTTGTTTTCCGTTTGCGAGGACAGATGGCGTGTAGAAAGAGAGAGTTTTACTTTTTAATGAGGAAAAACATTATGAACTAGGAAACAAGAGACTTCAAAAGTTAAGGATCTCAATGACCTTTAAAACTTGCCTTACTTCGGCAATTCCTCTTTTTTATCCTAAAACGAATAATAAGCCACTCTCGAGAAAGTAAGATAAAAAAAAAAAAACGTGTAACAAAGTTTTCATACGAGTGTTCTATGAAGAAGACAGAAGATGTAAATTAAATTTCTCTACGATGGCAGCTTTTTTTTAATAAATTTATTTTTTTTTCTTTTTAATTTTACGCTTGAAACTATGGCATTCTTCGGTGGGTCCAGATGTACGAAAATGAGATGTTCCATAGTTTGATTAGATTTGATTACAGAGTGAAATCTAATTAAAGAGTAACGTGCATGTGTGAACAATGTATTTCGTTCGATAACAAGATCTCGTGTGTTTCATGAATATGTTCACATGCTTTCAAAATATTTCACATCCTCTAAAATGCTTCTTCTTTATAACCTATAACGATCTAAAAAGAAACAGGAAATATTTCATTTTGGAACAGAGAAGCAGACAAGTAAATAAAGAGGAACACAAGCGAACAACTTCACAGCTATTATTTAAAATTTAAATTGCAATGAACAGTTTCGAGGTATGTGTTCGACTATAATGCTTCGAAAGATGAAATTGTGGAATATTTAGAAATGCTGAATTCCAGCAATATTTCATCAAAACGTTTATATACAGGGTGGCCAGTTTTAATACATAAATGGAAATTATCTGTTATACAAAAAGAGAATTTCAGATGAGAAACCAATGATTTCGAGATCACAATCTGTTGTAGGTAAACAAGCTTTTTTTTCTAGGTGAACACGTAGAGGCCAGTTCCACTTTTTTAAAATGGAATGATACATTTTTTAATCCATTAATCAATACAGCTTGATATAATATCTCTGTATAAAGGTACATATTGTATGTCGAAAAATGATTAGAAGAGATATTTTAACCTCAATTAATAAAATTAATAAAATCTATTATCTTTCGTGCACAGATTTTGCATTGATGAAGATTTTGTATTAACGAGGAGAACAAGTTGAAGTACGTATAATCTATAGATATACACAGTCAGAGAGCTGCGGTTTCAGCATTTTTAGCGATACGATCATTTACGAAATTCGTTGCTAGGAATCTTATTTTTCACGTTTTCGTCTGAAAGTCTGAGCCATCGTTGAAAACATTTCCTGAAGAACGCCCGTAACAGCAAAGTGGAAAGAATCGGGGGAACAAGAAAGCGTTGAGAAAGAACGAAAGTTAATGGGGACCCGCTGTTAATGCCACCTCGACATTGAAAGTAAATGCACGAAAATTGCATAATTTCGTTGAAAACGACCGAGCCAGTTGATCGCACGCAATTACACCTTTTAGTGGATTCTCTGCTCGAAACTTTTTACCCACTCTCGAAATTTTGCAAGCTGTTTCACGAGAATGAAATTTCCTATACATACGTGTATTATTTTTATATTATTCTTCTCGATGAATATTATTATGTGCTTTATATATCAGCACACTGTAAGTTCCTTTTTTTTTGCCGGAACAGGGGGCCTTGAACCCTGGACCCTCAGATTAAGAGTCTGATTGCTTTACCGACTGAGCTATCCCTACCTCCCTGAACGCTGTAAGTTCAAGCTTAAGTCGAATTATTTGTGAAAAAAAAAGTTACTTTTTAATTTGTCGAGACAATAATACGATTAGTTGATAAATTTTAATACTCATTTACTCGTAACTCAGGTTACTTTAGACATTCTTTGCAGTCTTAAAAATTTTACTCAATTGCGAATGAACTCTTACATCTTCTGGAACTATTTTGTCGTTTTACACTTGATAACATTGTCGGTGAAAGTATACAATTGATTGGACAATAACCGTTGGATTGGAGTTAGAATCATCCGTATTATGCTTGCCTTGAATTCAGGATAAAATGAGTTGAGTCTTGATACACTTAGTTTCACGGTCTACGTTTCAGAGCGATAAGTGTTTAATTTACATATTCAGGTGAGCTGAAAATTTTTCCAGGGCGAGACGATCGTGATTGCCAAGGTAAAGTGTTAATCAAATAATAATAATCTTAAATCATAATTGTCGACAAATGACAATTTCCTAAACTCTGATGAAATGGACACGTGATTTCCAAGTGTTGAAATGTACATTTGTCGTGACGAATAAAGTAATTGGCTTCGTTCACTGACAAACGGCAAATCCTTTTTATTTTTTTTTTTTTTTTTTTTTTTTTTTTTTTTCGGTAGGTTGCGCAACCTTAAATGGATGGATTGCGTGCAAAACCAATTCGCCTGTGTTTCTTTCTGCGATTCGCATTCTTCTGAGACTACTTTCTCACGATGCTCGTTCGTAGACCTTTGCCAGTCATTTCATTGCACGGATACAGATGTCCATAAAAATATCGTAGGAACACGATGGCGATTAACGCGCACTTCCTACAGGAACTATCAAACGCAAGCAATAAAAAATCGTCATTTTATTAGATAAAAACTATGTTGTTGCAGTTGGCAGGGGGAAAAAATTTTGTAGCAAATAATTTCGCGTATGCAACAGAATGAAATTGTAGTAGTTCTTGCAAGGAAATTTAACGATCTTTCTTAAAAGAGGAGACAATCGATCCAGATTGCCCGTTTCGTTTACTGTCGTGAACTTAACAATTCTGTATGTAACGTTGCTCAACACCTTGTTGAGAAATTACATTCGAATGGCGTCGTCACGCTCGGCCAAAATAATTGCAAATCGTGTCCATCGATTCCGGGACGGCTGTCGTAATTCAGGAAACAATATCTGCAGCAATACCAACAAACGATACTTAACGCCGGCGGGACCATTCGCGACGTTCATTCTTCGACAGGCCATTGTTCTATTTGTCGCTTATCAGTTTGTGCACAAGCGTGTGATCTTGCAATTTCCTGCGGGTGGGATCTCCCGCAACTGTTGTTCTCCTTCGCCATGTGGCAGGATCGACTTTGAAATCGGACTTGAAATAGCTGGAGGCGTCGTCGCAGGAGAAAAGCGTAGCTGGATTTCTTGGTAATTGCTTATTTAATACGTTCCGTGCCTTTTGTTGTCGTTCAGGCCATTTGATATTTTGACTAAAGATTTACAGGCATTCTCTTGTTTAGAGTAGCTATCACTTGTGGTAATATTATTAGAAATATGGTGATACACGTGGCCTGGAGATCAAGTGTTTAACGTGTACCACCGGTGGTACATACGGCACAGAACAAGAAAGATTTAATAATGACATGAACTTGTTGTATAGCGATAGGATAATTGGAGGATTCACTCGAAATCACAGTTTTACCATTTTGGAAGCTTCACAAGTTGGAGGGAAATTATTTCTTTCTCTTCGTTTAATATGAAGATAAATATCAAGAAATTTCCACAGCATTACTTTGAGAGATCGAGGTCTCCATAGCTAGCATTAAGTAGCAATCAATTGTTCCTTTTCTACTTTTTTTAAATTATTAGACGTGTGCATCACTCGCTATAAGTAGTGATCAGCTGTTCCTTTTATACTTTTTAAATTGTTGGACGTGTGCAACACAAGCATCTGTTGCACCCAGTAAGTACCGCTAGATTCAGCGTAGCTTATCCATTCACTATACCAGCAAATACAAACCAGCTGGATCCTACCATTTTGCAATTTCAAACTATATCGGCCAGTCGGTCAATGGGTAAATTTACTGCTCTCAATAGTTCACTGTTGGACTTTTAGAGAATTATGTCATTGTATTATATTTACATACGTGTATATTAAAATTTTGTCGTAGTAAAAAGATTGTTGTTTAGGGACAGAGGATTTGAAGATATTAAGAAGAATCTCTGCATCTGTCGTTCACGCTTGTTCCTTAACCCCTTGCCCTGGGAGAGATCTGGGCTACTTAAAAATTAACTCGTATCTACAATGAAATCTCATCTTACGAAAAACGAGAACGTTCGGCTCAAGTATGCAGCTTTCTTTACATAGTTTCTTTAAAGCGAAAACTTGTTTGAAATTACATTATACCGTACCACTGTGTTGACAATTATCCCAAGATGAAGAAGCGAAGAATGAAATAAAATCCACTTACTCTTACAATTAATTGCAGTAAAAAGTAGAATAAAGGGGAAACGAGGAATAAAGATTGTGTATAAATCGAGTCACGAGAAGCTGTAATTCTCTGAATATTCTTCAGAAGCTCTCGAATCGAATCGAGAAGACATCTGTAATAAAAGGAGACGAGATATTCGAACGATGACGTAGGTAAAAGATGAATAAAAGCCGAGTGAATAGATGGCGAATAAGAGGTGAACGCATGTTGAGTAGGTTGACTCGGCTTCGAGGAAATCGTCGAAAGTATAACAGTAGGTTCCTCAGAGCGCGGTGTCTCTGCTTCTGGATAAAAGGGATCAGTCGAAGTTCCGTTCCTCGAGTGTTTCGTGTATCCGCGACGGAGAGACGAATCTCGGGGTCACAAGGTTCAACGGAATAGTGAATCACGGGTCGCAGAGATAAATGTTTCGTGGGCAGGAAAGAGTAGACTTTCCCGTTAGAGGGAATCGATGGACCAGGAGCGTTTGATAACACTGGACAGTGTTCAGTCGAGTCTCCTACCGGCGACCAGGTTTTCCAGTTCAACTCTGAAGAACAGTAACACAGTTTGCTCGAGTGAACGAAGTCCTGACGATTATTTTAAAGAGAAAATATTTCCATATTTACAAGAGTGGCAAAAATATTTTAAAGAACTGACGATCTTAAATGAGATCTGAAAAGACTTCCTTCACGTTAGAGAATTCCACGTGACGATCTTCCTTCGAGATTCTGTGAAACGACAATTTCAAAGTACGAGAAGAAGACATCGTTGAGGATACATTCTTTGTAGTTCATCCCTCGTGATCGACAATGTATAACGAATAATGAGCTTACGCGTGGAACACTGCGATTTTCCAATACTGGAAGAACTCATAGATCGTAACACGTTGAATGGGTTTAGGATCCGCAGCTGACATTAAAAGTATCATTTTCGTATTTCAATACGTACACGTATGTGAATACATATATTCGATGAGTAACAAAAGGATCAACGCCGTGTTGATTTCTCATGGGTCTGATCGGCCACGGATGATACCTCATCAAAGGATCTTCATCGTTCTTTTCCTTACAATACTCGTAACATTGCCTTCTTATGAAAGCCGTGGTATGTGATGGTATTAATAACAAAAGATGTTACATTGTAATATTATTTATTACATATTTCATGTCACATCGATCTTGTAAAATAATTTTATTCTAATATCTCTTCTCAAGCTGATTAATTTATCATTTGTATCTCTCCTTTTGAATCTCCAAACATTAAACAAATTCCAAGACAATATCGCGTTTATTTTGCCAGTTTTGTAAGTAAGTTTTTCAATGGCATAATTGAAAGATGCATCGTAAACGGAAGTGTGTCTCGCTGCTGGAGATCGTGGTTCAGCAAGCGTGAAAGAAAAGAACGGAATAGTTGAAAATGTGTGTATTTTCGTGCGCTTTTAAATCAACAAGTGGATCAGAAAGAAATGCGTGACTCGTATTATAGATTTTATTGGAATATATAATTTTTGTAAAACTGATGGGCGTATTTTGCAATATATAAATTCCATAGAAATCGTATATAAACGGCGATGACGAACCATGAAATTACTAGAGAAATTAGAATAATTTTAGAGAGAACTAACTTCACAGGAAGTGAAATAAGTTTGTAATGACATTAAACGATGCACGTGCATAAGTACGTTTCGTGCAATGAATAATTTATCTTAAAGATAATTTTTAAATTATGTTCTTCAAAATTTTGATCTTATTTTTATTTATTTAGCTTAATTTTAAAATTTTGCAGAAGTTTCTATGCAAAGCAATCATTAAAGGACTTGAGTTGACATGTTCTTAAAGATTTATATATATATAT